ATATAAAGATATAAAGTATATACAGTGAGACAGTATATAAAGTATATATACTCGCCTCTATAGAAGACCGTCCAGCCTCTGAAGGTGAACTCCTCCCCGGAGCTGTGCCACTGCTGCAGGGCAGGTGAGAGCTGCGGCGGGGGGATGTGCAGGTAAACGGCCACCAGGGGGACACAGATCAGAGCCACATGGATCCACCACTCTCTCATGATGAGCTCAGCGGTGAGCTGCTCACTGTGAGCACCGTGTCATTCCTGCAGCTGACACACAACAACACACAACAACAGCACACAACAACAACACACAACAACAACACGAGGAGCAGGTTATCACCGTGCAGCTCCAGGCTGTAGTCTCCTCCCAGCAGGTGAGAGATCGTGCACACAGGTGTGATCACATGCACGCACCCCTGCACCGACACCGTTCACAGTCGTGCATGACCGTGCACGATCATGTGATCCAGTGCATGAGCGATGTCACACCAACCCAGAGTCAAACCACCCAGAGGAGCACGCCTCTACTCACCGAAATGTTGAGATCAGTCTTCAACCTTCGTCCCGTGTCCACGATCCATTACTGCGGAGCGGAAGCACGGGGAGGACAGAGACACGCAGAGGTCTCACTCCGCTGCACTTTCTCACTCCTGTAATGTGGCAGGCTGCAGAGTCTCAGCTGCTGCAGGGGAGCGGCTACTGTCCCTGGTCAGGAAACAGAGGGAGTCATCACACGCCTACACGATCTTTGAGAGGTGGACAGGTTTAAAGTGCACAGAGAGGAAGATCAGAGAAGTTTACTGCCCCCTGTTGGTCTGGGTGTGTAATAACATGGCCTCTGATTGATAGATATATAGAATATAGACAGACGGATAGATAAAAAGATAGACAGACAAATAGATACATAGATAGATAGAAAGAAATATAGATAGACAGACAATAGATAGAATATAGAGACACCTAGATAGAAATATAGATAGAATGTGACGAAATTATTTCCTTTTTTCCTATTTCTTTTGGTTTTGTTATTTACTAACATTTTTATTTTTTCCCCTCCCTTTTACATATCAATTACTTTTAACATATATTTATTCAATCCAGAATTTTCTACTGTGTGTTATTTGTTTTCGTTTTTTGACCACATAACAGGTAACAAGTAATCTCAACCTTACTGTGGAAAACTAAAGCTTCAAGATCTGATTAGCTAATATGGGTGACATTTTATAAACACTGATTAATGGAATAATCCAGAACATAATCTGCAGATTAATTAATGGAAATAACTGTTAACTAGCCGCAGTCCTGATGAAGTCTTGCTTTGTTCCTGGCAAAAAGCTTTCTGCTCCTCAACTAATGTATTTAAGTTATTTAAGCAAAATTGTGTTTGTTCATTACTTCCAAAATACCTACAATTCAAATTGTAAATTCATTTCTGGTAGAGAAAATAACAATTGTGCACTCAAAAACTAAAAAGCCTTCTGAATTGTCTGAGACTGTAAACAAGAAACACAGGTCATAGTCACATGCGAAGGTTGGATGTCAGTGAAAATGCCATGAAAAGAAAAACAATGTAAAATATTACCTGGAATGAAACTCAGAAAATATAAGATTCATTAAAAAAATGAATTATTGATGTAAAGGTTAAAAAAGCAAATATGAGAAAAATGTAAAATGAGAATAAATCAGAACAAACGAAAAGAAACAGGAGGAAAATGATAGAAATGAAAACTAAAACCAATCATAAATAGTAAAAAATCAAATAAAACAAGACAAAAGTTTTTTATCACAGCTCAGAACAGAATTTTCAGTTTGCAGAGGAAGTAATGAAATCTGAAATAAATCTGAACAAAATTTTGAACTAATTAATTGACATTAACAAACCAATGTGGTTCAAATGCAAATATTAGTTTGCATAGACTTTGTCAGTTTATACTTTATGTAACACTGATTTATCTGCTTCTGTTTATAAGCTAAAATCCACTGGTTATAAAACAGTTGGAAATTGTGCAGTTATGCAAAAAAGCAGCTCTCCTGAGAGAAAAATCCCCTTCGCTCAAGACTTTCCGCAAACACAGCAAACAAACAGAAATGTAGGATTTTCACTCAGCGCAGAGAAACCAGGTCCCGGACAAATGAAAACATGGCCCTGCTGTTAGGCTAAATACATTTTTTATTTTTAAAAACCATACACATTACTCGACAAGTTTCAAATGTAAATCCAATCACGATATCCATTTAAAATGCTCAAGATAAACAGACATGAAGTACTTTTATTTCCAAATGTTAAAAGATAAAAAAATAATAATCCATAAAACAGATGGAAAAACATTCGTTCCCGTTAAAGGAAGAAGCTACAGAACTAACTCCTCATGTAGATTCCGCTCGACTTTTCTCACTCTGCATATGTATATCCTAGCTGCTGTTTTGTCATCTGTAAAACAAGGGAAAAACAAACCAAAAAACAAACCATCTCCTCAGAGAACGCTGTGATTTGAAAACATTTTTTTACCTCCATTGTCTACCCCACCCCCGTCCACGGCCCTGCAGGTGAAGGCGTCCAGGAGGCTGCAGGAACAATCTGCAGCCTGCTGCCGCGACTCAACCCGTGTGGTTCAACAAGCACCGTCCCCAAACAGTTAATTAAGCAACAAACAAAAGCAGAAGCCTGTTCTCTTTCACACCATTTGCACCCTGAGATGAATATTCCAGAACAACACACATTTTAGTGGCCAAACCCCCTCCCCGTAGAATGTGATTGGTGTCAAATCATCCAAAATCGCTGTAGTGCGACGAAAGGTATCATCAGTATCGTCATAAAAATACAAAGGTACATCTTTTATTGTGATTTGTATCAAAATCCCTTTTTCTCTCCCCCCCGAGGAACGCTATGAAATAAAAGTACCCTGTGCTGATAGATACCAGTGTATGCCTAGTCTTTATTCTTGAAAAATGCACATGTCCAATTCTTTAGCAATTCCAGTACATCAGGTGTCAAAAATATCTCACAAACAGATCAAATGCAGCAACATGTATTCTTGGTGGAGTCTTCTGGACAGGACTGAATGAAAATAACAAAAAATAAACTTTTTTTTTCCTCAGTTTTTGATTATTTTTCTTTTTAAAAGGGCAAACAAGAAGAAGTCAGAGGAGTAAAATCAAGTTGTTTCCTAAAGTGTGATCGAGAAGATTGAATGAAATATGAAAACAATTCACTTGCTTTTCTTTTTTTTTGACCAGGACGATGTTCGACTATCTAAATACACAATATCTGAAGTTAAAAGGTTTATTTCTGTCTTTATGGATTTCTTTTAAATAAAAAAAAACTTTTCTATGCCTGAGTAAATAAATGTACATTGGCAGTTGGGCCGATGTTTTGCTGGGAAAAAAAACAAGAAATTGAAATAAAAAAATCCACCGATCTTTTTGAAGTCTGATGACAGGAAGCCATATTTATCAAGCATCCAGAGGCAGGAAATCCTAAAGTTTTAAGAACGAGTTTTTATCGGTTTCTTTAAAGTGGTAAATGACAAAACCAAACATGGTCTAAATTATTATCATCATTAAAGCCAAGGCACAGTCACGTTTAAGGTGCACTGGAATAGTTTGTGATTCAGTGGAACTTTCAACTTGTGGTTTAAAAAATATTATAAATATTATATAAGTGTAAAAGTCGTTTTCATGCTTTTTTGAGTGTTGGCAAAAACAAACGTTTTGCCTTAATGTTTAGTCCCGTGAAGCAGCTCTATCTTCCTTCCTTTAATTCTCCACATTAGCCTCCTCTGAGTAAAACTAATAAGAACTAGGAGAAGTTGTAAAACCACAAAAATCTAAAAGGAAAACTTGGACTTCCTGCTGAAAGTTACCTCAGCAGGCCTCTTAAGGACCTCGTGTCCGACTCGGAAGTACGACTCTGTCTCCCACTCCAACTTTCAGCCGTTGCTCTGAGATGCTTGTTAAATACGGGCCCGGGTTATTCTCTAAGAAAAAAAAATCCCTTTAATGAGTGAACCTTTCAACATGTGGAAATTCTCAAACACAACATAATGAATGAAAAAGAGAATCCAGAACTCCAGAAGGTTTTGTGCACATGAAAAACTATCGAAGAAATGGAAGAAGTAAATATTTATAGCGATGTTAGTGTACAGAGGCCCGAATCGTCTTTCCCTGTCCCATCTCGTGTGAGAAGCACCTCGCCCGGTGGACCTCTTTTCTATACAAGCCTTAGTGTTTATCGGTTTGGCTAGAGGTTTCTATATTTATCTACAAATATATAACAAATAAAACTTGCAGGCAAAAATAGTTAAGTTTCAATAGAAACACCCTTTTTTCCTGAAAATACAGCAGTATCTGAAATAATCCTCTCATTCGTCGTTTTTTCTGTCCCACTTTTCTGCATCATACATCAGGAAGCTCTTTTGCCTACAAACAGAAAAAAAGTATCTACAAACTTTGTAAACAGACCTGCTTTTTTTCCAAAAAAACATAAATAACTCAAAATATTAACAGCCAATGGAGCAGAAATACGTTTTGAATGAGCAAGGGCCAAAGAGATAAATATACAACACCATTCAGATAAAAGAGAAGCTAAAGGTTCTTTCAGATTTCTTACAGACGATCTTCAAGCCAGGAGGGAGCACCTCCCTT